AAGCTTTGCCAGCTGCAGAAGAAATAGGCCAGCAAGGCAGGTGTTGCGGCGTGTGAGGCCTGACTGCAACTGTCTGAAGGTAAGTAGTAAGGAAGTTCCACCCCCTTCATCCCCACCCTAGCTTAATTTTTACCTGTGTACCCTGAAGTGGGTGGGGTCTTAATTAGGGCTTATTTTGGGGTAGGGCTTATATTGGACACATGTGTAAATATCAAGCTAGGACTTACTTTCGAGGTAGGTTGTATTTTTGGGAAAACATGGTACATAGAAAGAGATAAATCTGGAAGTAAGAATGGGTGCAGATGTATATAGAAAGCTAGCCATTTTCCCCCACCTGCCTTCAGACTTCTAAGTAATATTCATACATAAATATTCAGCAAAACCTTGAAATTCCAGACTCGGAAATTCTGCTAGACATCCCGTTCAGCCATCAGCCTAATGTGTTTTGCCAGACTGTTGCCAAGAATAATGATGTAGGAATTGTAGGTGGTTTATGTGTGGAGGTGAACAATGACAAAATGAGAAGTGCTGATCATGTACCAAATCAGACTTCACGTTTGCAGTCTCCTGGATGCCTCTCCAAATTTTGCTGCTACAACTGCTATGTCTTTGCAACATGCTACCTGCTTCTGGCCTCTAACTGCAGAAGAAATAAAATGGTTTGATCTTTCTGCTTCTAACTGCAACCCTTTTGGCGTCTCGTTTCTTTCAGGATCAGGTCATTTTTAATTAAATGACCAACTTTATCGTTTCACTAACCCTCTCTTCTCCTTATAATATATATATTTTTTCCTGGAGTGCAAGCAGGCTATTATCTAGGGAGGGGAAAATAAAACTCAGAGCATTTTTTTTATTGACTCTGAGTAGGCTGATATTTAACCTCTCTACATTTTTTGAATAGGTTTGTCTGAAATGGAGCAAGGTATTACAGGCTCTTTCGTTCCACAGTTAAGCTTTAAACAAGGGGAAATGGGAGAAGTTCTTTGCAAAACATATGATGAATGGTTGCAGGAACTGGGTATGTCTAGTGCAGGGGTCTGCAACCTTAAATACTCAAAAGGCCATGTGGACCAGTTTCCCACAGAAAAGAAAACATAGGTAACCAATAATTTAACAACTGGTGTGATTGGGTGGGCGTGACCAACTCAATGTCATTCACTCCCACCCAATCATCTCCTGCTCTGGAATATGGAGTGAGTCTCCATCCCATGCTATCACCCTTGCCTTCTCAGGCCAGGCGAGGAGTGACAGGGAGGGGAGGGGCCAGCCAGTGGTGGGATCAGCCAGTAGAGAGCCTCAGCAAGGGCCGAAAGAGCCACAAGTGGCTCCAGAGCCACAGGTTGTAGACCCCTGGTCTGGTCTAATGAAAAGTAGGACTAGGAGATACATGATAGCAGTGTTCCAATCTCTCAGGGGCTGCCACAAAGAAGAGGGAGTCAAGCTATTCTCCAAAGCACCTGAGGGCAGGACAAGAAGCAATGGGTGGAAACTAATCAAGGAGAGAAGCAACTTAGAAGTAAAGAGAAATTTCCTGACAGTTAGAACAATTAATCAGTGGGACAACTTGCCTCCAGAAGTTGTGAATGCTCCAACACTCGAAATTTTTAAGAATATAACCATTTGTCTGAAGTGGTGTAGGGTTTCCTGCCTAGGCAAGGGGTTGGACTAGAAGACCTCCAAGGTTCCTTCCAACTATGTTGTTCTATTCTATTTACTTCATTCCAGAAGATCATCAGAAGAATCTGAATGAAGACCACGTGAAGCATTAGTACTGCTTTATAATGCCTTGGTAGGACCACACTAGGAATGTTGCATCCCATTTTGGTCACCACAATATATTGTATAAAGATGTTGAGATTGTGGGAATCCCCCCCCCCCTCCCAATCCTAGAAAACAGAAATTAATCTGATCCATGAAAAAAAAAAAAGAAATTGATGAGTAACATCAAGGCTTGAAGGAGATGATGGAGAGCAGTCTCGCCTTTCCCTAGTTCATTTGATTTTCATTGGGGCTCTGGTAGGTGGGGAAGGGCTAACCTTTCAATGGGGAAGGTGATAGCCCATTGTGCAGCCCATGTTTTGAATGCTGAATGCTGTGAGGACCATGGAAACGATTTCATTTGCACCCTTTAGCCCTGTTTGCTATTTGGCCACAGCCCAGCTATAGAGGTAGTTCTCAATTTAAGACAATGATTGACTCAACATTTCTGTTGCTAAGTGACACAGGTGTTGGGTGAATTTTGCCCCGTTTTATTACCTTTCTTGCCACTGTTGTTAAAGTGAATCCATTGTAGTTGTTAAGTTAGTAACATGGATATTAAGTGAATCTGGCTTCCCCATCGCCTTCGCTCATCAGAAGGTTACAAAAGGGGATCCCATGGCCCCAGGATGCTGCAGCCGTCATAGATATGAGTCAGTTGCCAAGGTTCTGAATTTTGACTACGTGGCCATGTAGATACTGCAGTGGTTATAACTGTGAAAAATGTTAACAAGTCACTTTTTCAGTGCTGCTGTAACTTCAAATAGTCACTAAATGAATTGTTATAAGTCAAGGACTGTATTGTGTTAAGGAATACTTCTGAAAGCTACCATTAAAAGCTACCGTTCTTGAGAATAACAAAGTTGCTGCCTACTTTTCCCAGGAACCCCCTCATATCTCATGAGCCCCTCAAAAGAACATTGTCATTACATCCTAACCTTTTGCTTTTCACTGAGCAGGAAAACTGACTCTCACCAACCTGACTGCTGACTGTAGTGTTGTTTGTGCAGCACATTTTAGCCTACAATTAACCAAATAAGGTTATATTGAACCCTGTCATATTATTTATCTCTTACATTGACACAATGCAGTACGCTTAGTAATGACTCGAAAATTACAGGTAGTTCTCAATTTATGACCAGTTGCTTAGCAACTAATCAAAATTACAACTTACCTGAAAAAGGAAACTTACCACCCAGGTCTGAAGTTCCAATGACACACACACACACACACACACACAGTCACACCGACAGACAGACAGACAGACAGACACACTCATGGTTGCATGACCATGGTTTGGGTGGTCGGCCATCCATCCATCCATCCATCCTCATTTATGGCCATTTCTGCAATTGTGTGATTGTGTTATGATAGTTTTGCTGAAAGCAGACATTTCTGGTTTTCAACAAAACAATGCTCAAATTGAAAAAGGATTTGCACTTACAACTTCTTCTTCCCCTTCCTCCTCTCCTCCTTCTCCTCCTCCTTCCCCCCCCCTCCCAGCATATTCACATAAGTGCAATGTCCACTTTTTGTATCATTGAGCACCACTTTGCACGGTCATCTGCGTCTCCTGGGCACAGGCTTGCATATCTTTGTTGATGGTGTCTTACCATTTCTGTTTTGGACTTGCACTTACAACCATCATCCTCACTTAATGACTGCTGAAAAAAACTTTGTAAAATTGGGTCGGTCATTTTATGACCATGACAACTTACAACAAGCTCAATTATGATTGTAACTTGAAGATTATCAATAGAGCTTTCAAAGAACAATATGTCCACATCCTCTCCTCTCAATTCAAAGGAGCTATTTTCTGCCTTATATATTCCCCAATTTCTAGAAGATGGTTAGAATGGCTTTTGCCTCTGTGACTTGATTCAGATGAGAATTCTCCCTAGGTTCAATACCAACCATTCTTTGATCTCCCAATCACCTTAAATTTCTCTGTAAGCTTCCTTTTCTGTGGTTCTTTTTTTTTTTTTTTTTGCACAATCTGCCTTGTACAACAGGACTTCTTTGTTGCTCCAGAATTGCCCCCACCATATTTTGCCTCTGCTGATGTTTCAAGAAGGGGGCCAGGCTGATAGTTTTTCTTCTGCCTCTGATAAATAATTCAACCTAGTTTGCTTAGTGGGAAGGAAAACTGACCTAGAGCAACAGAAAGGTAAAGAGAAAGTGGTGGAGGTGAGAAAGGTACCACCGTTGCTTAGCAACATGCCCATAATCCAGTGAGAAATAGGGGAGGACTGGAGGAGGAGGAGGAGGAGGGGTACAAGAAATGATTCTCTAAAAGCTTATTCTCCAACTCTGTCAAAGGAATTGATCTGAAAAGCTGTGCTTGGGCAATCAGAAGTGCTATTAAAATATTGCTATAATCATACCCTTTGATTTAAGACAGAAGAAATGAGATGAGACTTTCCTTGTCAAATCTTTGTGCAAGATTCAGACTCTTCTCCTTGATTTGATCCTAGTTGACAAGAAAAGATGAAAAGGAGGAACAGATTAAGTGATAAAAAGAAAATTCCATCCCAGGTATGAGCTATGTAATTCTCTCTTTTTTGGCTTTCATCCATGATTGCAGTTCTCAACTATTTCTGGGTCTCCCCTTACAAAAACAATTGTAATGTACAAACCAAGTGATCCTATAAACTCTCCTCAGACAATTCTCTTGCCAATTTACAATCTGAATTGTTGAATCCATTTATCCATCCATCTATCCATCCATCCAGTCTCCTTCCAACCTTCAATAGTAGAACTGAGTTGCTTTTAATAGGACACTTTGATGCTCATCAGGCAAAATTTCTTATGGTATGAAGATGAGGTGAAAATAACATCTGTAAAATTTCTTCCTACCACACTGTAATACATTGAGAGAATAACTTTGAGAGAAAGGAGGAAAAGCCACAGTCTAGACAAACTGGAAATGTAATTTGAGAAAGCAACTCAGAACTGTTCTGTTCTACCTCAAAGGGCTGACATTACATTACATCCAAAGTTCAGGACCATTGCTTGAATAAAATGTTAATCCTCCATAGATGCAGAAGTGACACAAAGTAGACAGAATGGTATTCCATTGTCTGATATCACACTAATGACTACAGATAGTTCTCAGGTTATGACTGCAATGGTGTCTGCTCTTTCTGGTCATAAGTAATAAGGGTTATAAAATTGACCAACCAATCGACATGACTGACCTGATTTTACAATGATTATTAAGTGAATCATTGCAGTCATAAGTGCAAATGCTAGTCATTAAGTGAACATGGCAGTTGTAAGAGGAATTCATGGATTAGTAGGGGCACAGTTTTGCAGAAATGCGGAAGTCCCAATTTTTAGCAAAACTTTTGTAAGATGTAGTCACATGGCTGCAGGAGATTGCAAATGATTGGAAAACTCTACGGGTATTGCAACCATGTTAGTAGCCAAAAATCAAAATTAGTTGGGTAATACCTTTTTCAATTGCAGGTAATCCCCAACTTAAGACTGTAATCAAGCCCAAAATTTCCATTTCTAAGCAAGTAGTTATTAAGTGAGTTTTGCCCCATTTTATTTAACAGAACAACAGAGTTGGAAGGGACCCTGGGTTCATTTAGACCAACCCTCTGCTCAGGCAGGAAACCTTATACAGGTAGTCCTCGACTTATGACTACAATTGAGCCCAACATTTATGCTGTTAAGTGAGACATTTGTTAAGAGAGTTTTACCCCACAACCTCTCTTGCCACAGTTGTTAAATGAATCACCACAGTCCACAAGTTAGGAACAATGATTGTTAAGTGAACCTGGCTTCCCCAATGATTTTGCTTGTCAGAAGGTCACAAAAGAGGATCAAATGACCTGAGGTAATAAGTATGAATCAGTTGCCAAGTGTCAGAATTTTGACCACATGATCATGGGGATGCTGCTAAGGTCGTAAGTGTGAAAAATAGTCACAAGTCACTTTTTTCAGTGCCGTTGTACCTTTGAATGGTCACTAAATGAACTGTTGTAAACCAAGGACTATTTCAGACAAATGTTTGTCCAATCTCTTCTTAAAAACTTCCAGTGTTGGAGCATTTACAACTTCACAACTTCATTATCTTTTTGCTACCTTTAAGTGGAAACACTGCAGTTTTTAAGAGAATCATGTGGTCATTGAGTGAATCTAGTTTCTCCCATTGACTTGCTTGTCAGAAGCCAGCTGGGAAATTTACAAGTAGTGATCACATGACCTTGGCACAATGCAACTGGCATAAACACATTCCAGTAGCCAAGTACCCGAATTTCAATGCTGTGACCATGGACATTCGGCCACTGTCATGAGTGTGAGAATTGGTCATGTCGTTTTTTTCAACTTTGAGTGCTTACTAAATAAGCAGTTGTTAAGTCAAGGACTATCTGTGCTATAACAAACTTTATTAGAAGACATAGAGTGCTGTTTTTTTTGTTTGAAACCACAGTATCAGATACATGTGGTAAAGTGAGCTATAACTCAAAAAGCTTTGGCCCTTTAAGAAAACAAGTCAGTTGGAGATGGTGCTACCATCTGTATGGCACTGAACACTGGACAGCAACAACAGGGATAGAAAGCTATGTCCATGCCATGGAAATGAGAATGCTCCGTTGGATATCAGGCTTCTTGACCACATGACAAATGACATCGTTCGACAACGTTTTGGTCTGGCACCAATTATAGAGAAGATGAGAGAAGCCCGGCTCCTCTGGTATGAACATATTCCTGAGAGCAGCACCTTCCCACCATTGCTGAGACTGCCTACAAATTAGAAGTCAGTGGCCAGCGACCTTGTGGGCACCCAAAACAGAGATGGCAAGACACCATCAACAAAGATATGTAAGCCCTGGAGACATAGCTGACGGTGCAAAGTGGTATTCAATGATCTGAAAAGGAAATTCCTGCACTTGCGGGAATATGCTAGGAAGAAGAAGAAGAAGAAGAAGAAGAAGAAGAAGAAGAAGAAGAAGA